ATCAATGTGCAAAAATCACAAGCATTCCTATACACCAATAACAGACTTAAAGAGAGTGAAATCAAGAACGAACTGCCATTCACAATTGCTACAAAGAGAATAAAATACCTAGGAATATAATTAACAAAGGATGTAAAGGACCTCTTCAAGGAGAACCAGAAAGCACTGCTCAACGAAATAAGAGAGGACACAGACAGATGGAAAAGCATTCCATGCTCATGGCTAGGAAGAATCAATATTATGAAAATGGCCATACTGCCCAAAGTAATTTATAGAATCAACGTTATCCCCATCAAGCTACCTTTGACCTTCTTCACAGAACTGGAAAAAAACACCTTAAACTTCATATGGAACCAAAAGAGAGACTGCATAGCCAAGACAATTTTAAGCAAAAAGAAGAAAGCTGGAGGAATCATGCTACCTGACTTCAAGCTATACTACAAGACTACAGTAATCGAAACAGCATGGTACCAAAACAGCAATACAGACCAATGGAACAGAACAGAGAATCCAAACCTGACAAAAACAATCAACAGGGAAAGGATTACCTGTTTAATAAATAGTGTTGGGAAAAATGGCTAGCCATGTGCAGAAAGCAGAAATCGGACCCCTTCCTGAAACCTTACACTTAAATTAATTCCAGATGGATTAAAGACTTAAAATAAGGCCTAACACCATAAAACCCCTAGAAGAAAACATAGGCAAAACCATCCAGGACATAGGCATTGGCAAGGACCTCATGACTAAAACACCAAAAGCATTGGCAACAAAAGCCAATATAGGCAAATGGGATCTAATTAAACTCCAGAGCTTCTGTACAGCAAAAGAAACAATCATTAGAGTGAACCGGCAACCATCAGAATTGGAAAAAAAATTTTGCAGTCTACCCATCTGACAAAGGGCTAATATCCAGAATCTGCAAAGAACTAAAACAGATTTACAAGAAAAAAACAAACAAACTCATTCAAAAGTGGGCAAAGGACATGAACAGAGACTTTTCAAAAGAAGACATATATGAGGCCAACAAACATATGAAAAAATGCTCATCATCACTGGTCATTAGAGAAATGCAAATCAAAACCCATTGCGATACCATCTCATGCCAGTTAGAATGGCGATCATTAAAAAATCTGGAGACAACAGATGCTGGAGAGGATGTGGAGAAATAGGAACACTTTTATGCTGTTGGTGGGAGTGTAAACTAGTTCAACCATTGTGGAAAACAGTGTGGCCATTCCTCAAGGACCTAGAAATAGAAATTCCGTTTGACCCAGCAATCCCATTACTGGGTATATATCCAAAGGATTATAAATCGTTCTATTATAAAGTCACATGCACACGAATGTTCATTGCAGCACTGTTTACAATAGCAAAGACTGGAACCAACCCAAATGCCCATTGATGATAGACTGGACAAGGAAAATGTGGCACAAATACACCGTGGAATACTATGCAGCCATAAAACCATGAGTTCATGTCCTTTGTAGGGACATGGATCAATCTGGAAACCATCGTTCTTAGCAAAGGGACACAGGAACAGAAAATCAGACACTGCATGTTCTCACTCATAGACAGGTGTTGAACAATGAGAAGCATCACACTTTGGGGTCTGTTGGGGGGGAACAGGGGAGGGACAGCAGGAGATAGGGAGGTTGGGGAGGACTAACATGGGGAGAAATGCCAGATATAGGTGTCAGGGGGATGGAGGCAGCAAACCAGATTGCCATGTACATACCTATGCAACAGTCCTGCATGTTCTGTACATGTACCCCAGAACCTAAAGTGCAATAATATATATATGTATATATATACACAAAAAAATATTGTTGGAAGAGGAGCATCACACACTGGGGTCTGTTGTGGGGGGAATAGAGGAGTGACAGTGGGGTCAGGAAGTTGAGGAGGGATAATATGGGGAGAAATGCCAGATATAGGTGACGGGGGGATGGAGGCAGCAAACTACATTGCCATGTATGTACCTATGCAACAATCCTGCATGTTCTGCATGTGTACCCCAGAACCTAAAGTGCAATAAAAAATATATATATATACAAAAAAAAAAAAGATATCCCTTTTCTTTTGTTTTGCTCTTTGATGTGACTCTTACTTTCACCAAACCAAACTCTTCCTTCTGAAATTAATTCATTCTGCGTAATTCTATGTGGAAGTAGAAGTCACAAATATATACTGAATCCTTTATAATATGACAGAAAATCTTTTGTCTTTCATTGGCCTGTTTATCTTCATCATAATACTGTGAGGAATGTTTTTAATTATTCTCTTTTTACACATAAGGAAATTAAGGAAGCAACTTGTTCAGAGTTACACAGTTTAAAAAAGTGAAGCCAAGCTTCAACTTCTTGAAGTCATCATTTTATCCAATAAGCCATTTTTGACAGAGGACAATATTTTGTTCATCTTTGTATTCTCACACCTTACCCAGCACCTAGATCTTAGTAGGCATTTACAGAACATTTATAAAGCAGAGTACTTATTAAGCTTTAGAATGTACCTCCCTTTACTTCTATTCTCACCTCTGCAGACAGCTTCACACCTTGCCCTTCTTTATCTGGGTAAGAGATCATTAATTTCACCATTCAACATTCACTGATACCAGTTTCAAGTACAGTTTTGACCTTCTCATTTAATTCCCTTGCTCAAAAATTGACTATAGTCTCCATTACCTCTGGTCTCTTGCGTCTGGCATTCAAGGCTGTCTTTTCTTTGTCCTAGCCTATCTTAGTTCTTGTCTCCCAGAGGCCAGTATTCCAAATTCTGCTCCTCAGTGTTGTCATATAATGCCCTATGATTTTTAACATTTATCCTCACCAATGTGTGCTCCTGAATTATCACTCCCATCTAATCCCCACCTATGATTAAGCCTATTGATTCTTCAAGGCTTAAATTAATGGCAGTGGCAGGCCATCCAGAGCAGCTTCTATCATCAGGAAGGGACTGGTGGTGGCAGCAGGAGCGGCTGTGGGAGCATCATCAGTGGCCGCAATGGGCCCCTGTGTCTCGTGTCCCCGAGCAGCAGACTGCACTGCCCAAGCCTGGCTCCCAGGTCCAGAGCCTCTACTGCTCTGCACCCTGGCTGTGTAGTTGCCGCTGTCATCTACCACAACTGTGGGGATGAGGCAGAGCTGGGTCTGGAATGGTGCTGCAATCCACAGAGCTGGCAGGAGCTAGGGACAAGCAAGAGTACCCCTGAAGCCCACTGCCCTGGGGGCTACCATGATGGTATGACTCCTGCAATGATTTTATTTACCTGCCATATTTTACCACGATGGAGCCAGGCTGAGACACCCACTGGTTGAGGAGCAGTGTGGTCAGGCACAGAGGGGTGGGAAGAGATGGGCCCAGCAAGGACCTGGAGCCCCGGCCCCAGGCTGTGAGGAGGTGCAGCTGGGACTGCCTGCACACTCCATAGAGTGGGTGGGAGCCCTGCCCTCCCAAACGTAGGACCTGGGCGTCTCTGCACTTTGCCCCATCAGGGGCCCAGAAAGGCCTCCCTGTCTCTCAGGCTCGGCAATGTCTGCTTCCACTGACTTGCCTCTCCTCTTCCTGGTGCCTGCTCCAATCTTGGAGCAGGGCTGGGGGCAGAGCTTGGGTGCTGTTGCAGCCCAGCCAGGTGTCTGCTCACTTAGGGTAGTGCTGCCATGCCAGCCCTCTGATGCCTCAGCCCCCTCTGGACTTTGGGTGCCAATGAGCATGCAGGGGGGGAGTTGAAGGGGTGCTGGCCTGCAGGTGCCCCTTAGTGCGAGCAGCCTGGGTGCCATGGACAGCAGCAGGAGGCAGACAGGCTCCTGTGTGGAAAGGGGCAGGTCCGTGGTGAGGCCCCACCTTCCAGCCAGGGAGGACCTGAAGGCTGGGGGCCAGTCTGCCAGTTCTGCAGACCACAGTGGGAATTTGTGGTGCCTTTTCTGGGCTCACCAATGGCTGCCCATGGGCCAATCAGCATGTACTCCCTTCCCACTGAGGCCCATAAAGGCCCAGGGCTCAGCCAGAGCAGAACAGATGATAGGACGACCAACTGCAGAGAGGAGCTACACTTTCTGCTAGGAGCTGAACACTTGTTGGGGACTGCCTGCCTGAAGAGAGGTGCTATCCTCTCTGCAAGGAGCTGAACACTCATCCAGACACCCTGGCTGCAGAAAGGAGCTGGCCCCTGCAGGTCTCCCCTGAGCTATTCTATTGCTCAATAACGCTCCTCTTTGTCTTGTTCACCCTTCATTTGTTTGCAGATCTCATTTATCCTGGTCACAGGACAAGAACTCAGGACTCACTGAATGGCGAGGCTAATAGAACAGTAACATGAACAGGACTGAAACGTGCTTTTTGCTCATCATGCTGTGGGAGAAAAAAAAGGAGAGAAGAGTTGTGGACCCATAGGGAGCCCAGACTTAGGAGCTCCCCAAGCCAGGGCTGTGACTCCCTCTTTGGGATCCTATGGTTCCTGGCATCTCCAAGATTCCAGGTGCCACCACATTTCCTAGTGCCAGCTGTGGAAGCTACTTGTAGTGTACCTGGTCTGGGTGTAGCCTTGCAGAGAGCCAACACCAGTGCCAGCACCTGGAGTTGCCTACCCCACTGCAGCAGTCGGTGTGTCTGATTGTGCACCGTAGCCAGACCCCACACTTGCTCACACACCCCTCACTGTTCCACACCTGATTCATCCTTGGTAGGCATGGGATACAGGTTCCTTGGCAGGCATAAGATCCAGGCCAGTAGCATGAGCCAAGCGCAGCCTACTGGCCAAGTTGGTGAAATGAGCCCAGTGGGCCCAAGCAAAACTCTGGCAAAAGTGTCACCGGCCACAGAGGTTTCCAGCCAGGAAAGAGACATCCCCAAGATCCGATAACAAAATCAAATGTTAACACTTTAAATAACATGTTCTCCACTGATTTTACTTGACTATATTTTATTTTTCTTTGGATTCAAGTAATAGTTGATTACACTTTGCTTTATATTAAATGCCTTTGTCTTTTTCTTCTTAATAGGTTATAAACATCTTGAGAGCAAGGACTAAATCTTACTCATCTTTATTAAGAACTGACAATGGACCACACCAGAAAATCCATGGATATGCTGTGAGACTGTGACCAATTATACATTCAATATTTTTCTTACTTGTGAGACTGATTTTGAGAAAATTTGCTATCACAGCATCACTAAACATTAGAGCAGGAAAGGACTCCTGCAATGATTTTATTTACCAACCATATTTTACCAGTAGGAAAACTAAGGCATAGAGAAGTTGAGACTTTCTACACACCAGGGCCTAGTCTTCACGATGTTTATGCCTAACCCTGAGCCCTTTCCTCTATATAATGCTGCCTCATTACATTTCTGAAAGATGGAGAAGTTTCATAAAAACAGGATGAAAGACATTGGAAGTTTCCAGATGCTATCAGGCTATCTTCTCACAGACCTTTCGATGATTTGTCCAACAGAAAGAGACTAAAAGGGCTTATAGGAATATCAGCATCCCAATGTACTTATGGTTTGACTTTACATCTCTAATTACAGAATTTGATTATTTTAAAAAAATCTTTATATCAAATCTTGGTTTATACTTTAAATTTTTTTATATTTATTATATATCAGGTGATACTTCCTTTATACTCCAAACAGAAACCCCAAAATAAAAACTGCCAGAGCATATAAGCATTTTTTTCTCATTTTATGGATAAAGAATCTCAAAGAAAGCAACTTTGTCAGTATTAGGATTGCGACCTTAACCTGGAGAGTAGCCAGGAGGAATCTGTTCTCATATTGTAGATACCAGGACATTCTGCTTCCTCAAGAGATTTGAGGAAGCAGACTCTTGACATTTTGATGTGACTCTACAATGTCTAAGGAATGATTTTGTTAGCAATGGAGACACCAAGTGACAGGTGCTAGTAAGTCTGAACCAGCCACCACTGCCAATGAGCTGTGTCCCTGTTCAGCTTGGTTTCCCCATTCACTTTCAGGTGATTAAAATGTCATGCTTTAACACGCCCAGTTATAATACTAGTGGCAATCTGTTGTATTGTCTCAAGGAGACATTGCTGCTCATAGGAGCAAGTATTCACAGGCACTGAAAATGTAAACTATCTTGGGAATTTGTAAAAATGACAAGGAATAACATCGAGAACTGCTTCATTCATGGGATGTAGGCAATGATTTTCGTAAGGTATTTCCAAAATGCATGCCATTTATATGTAGGAAGAATGGCCACAGAGGGAATATTACAGTGAAATTTGGTTTTATACCTGCCATATACTTTACCATGTTTCATCTCAAAGTACATTTTGCTGCCTATTTCAAGTTAAAGTCCTGACTTCTGACATTGAGCTTTGATGTGCCCCCACAATATGGCTCCCCTGTCATGCACTTCTATTGCTTCTTCCCTTCTTATCTTACTGCTTTAGTCAACACAGGCTGTTCCTGATGCTTACAGCATACTGATTCAGCAAAATCCAAAGAAACAAACATTTGATAAATGTCCACCATGTGTTCGGAAGTTTGCTAAGAACTATAGAGGGCAGGAAGAGATGGCATTTTTGTCCTTAAGTAATTGGAAATCTAATGGGAAAAACAAGCAAGTACATAAATTAATCTGATATGAAGCAGAGTGAGCAGTAGGGAGGGCAAAAATGTTGAAAAGTAAATTGGGTTACATGAGGATATCAAAAGAGTTATTTAAGTGTGTATGTATTTTTTATGCATTGGGAGCCTCTAAAAGGTTTTGAATAGGGAAATAATGAGCAGAACATGAGGTGGGCATTATGAAGGATAAGCTAGAGAGACAGATATTAAAATTAGAGAAGCCATACTTTAAGAAAGTTGTGGCCGGGCGCGGTGGCTCACGCCTGTAATCCCAGCACTTTGAGAGGCCGAGGCGGGTGGATCACGAGGTCAAGAGATCGAGACCATCCTGGTCAACATGGTGAAACCCCGCCTCTACTAAAAATACAAAAATTTAGCTGGGCATGGTGGCGCATGCCTATAATCCCAGCTACTCAGGAGGCTGAGGCAGGAGAATTGCCTGAACCCAGGAGGCGGAGGTTGCGGTGAGCCGAGATCGCGCCATTGCACTCCAGCCTGGGTAACAAGGGTGAGACTCTGTCTCAAAAAAAAAAAAAAAAAAGTTGTAATAGCAGTTCATGTCAGGCATGATAAAGGCCTGAAAGGTAATCACTGATAGAAGTGAGATGAAAGAGATGCATTCCATGACTTTGTAATATGAATGCGTTTATATTACAGTGGTTAAGCATGTGAATTCCAGAGTCACATGCAGGTTTGCATCATGTTTCTGCAATTTATTAGCTATGTTACCTTAAATGAATTAGCAAACTGATCTATGCCTCAGAATTCATACATCTAAAATGGATATTATCTTGGCACTCAAGTCAAAAGTATGTTCTTAGTTCACATGAAATAATCTTTATAAAATTCCTGCCAAAGTACACAATAAACATTCAATATTAGTGTGGAGAAGACGGTTGAATAATTTGATCAGAATATCCTCCCCACTAAGTTTTTTTTCTTTCCATTTGCCTCTCTGCCTTGTTGAAATCTGCCCATCTCCACTGCATTCCACTATGAAGAGTTCCTTGAATAGTTCTGTGCACAATGATCTTTCCTACCTCTGCATTTCTAAAATATTGATCATCTATACTAATAAGACACTTATACCTCATCCTGTTAAATATATTTCTTTGATAGAATTTTTTAATTGATAATATGTCAATTCCTGTTTATCAGTATTTAAATAAATTGTAATGCAGATTAACCAGAGAAAATGATTTCACTGCAGGCTCATTTCCTGGTGATAGAATCCACTTCTAGATCCTCAGCTCAAAGTCTTTAAGAGGAAAATACAGTAAGTTAAAAATACCTCTGTACATGGTGGTGATAAAAGCTGGGCACCTGTGGAAAAGCAGAAGAGCTCCAACATGGGGACCAGCAAGCACAAGGGCTCCAGCTATCTGAGAGACCAAGTGTGGAGGACCCAAATCTATTTTATAATAACTCACAAAAATACTTGAATTTAATTTAAATTTGTAGGGCAAAGGTGTCCTTTACAACAATTGCTAATTTTATTCCACTATTTACCATATTCTAAAAGAGGCTTAATATTATTTTGTCTGAAATGGAAGGCAGTCAGTCTTACTTTAAGGAATCTTCCATTTCTTTTAAAAATGATAGATGCTAAAATGCTTCCATAGCACAACTAGAAAAAAAGAAAAGACTGGCCAAAGTAATTTCCTCTCATTCTATTGAGTTGATTTAATAGGCCTTGTGTTAGTAGAACTACATAAACAATTTTATGAAATGGCGTATGGAATATTTTGAGAGTATAAATGTGTATATGGGACACAAGGGCATCAAAGGAATTTTGTTTGAAATATGCACTTTTAATATAGATTGCTACCATAGAGTAGAAATTGAAATTATACTGCAGATTTCTGCTTTTAATAACTTTATGAATTTTTCACAAAACATCTAGGTCTTTCTTTTCTTTTCAAGATCTAAATCATATCTTCTCTTTCCTTCTGTCAATCTTCCCAAATGTATTGGTATTCTATTTTGTGAGAGGTATTAATTCTTCTATACAATAAGTATCCAAAGAAAATCTCACTAATTTATTCTTGTTAAGTTTGGGTTGCAAGTGTAAAAATCTATAAGACAATCAAAATAAATGGTAGGACAAAATGAAAAGGAATGTGCAATTGCTGACTAATATTAATCTGACAAATTTTAAATATGTTTCCTACAAAGACACCAAAATGCTTCATAAGTCTCATTTTATTGTATCATTGCATTGTCTGAGACTGTATAAATATATGTGTATATAATGTATACATCCTTATTCTATATTTTGTATATTTTATCATATATGTATATATATATTGGTGTGTACACACATTCACATACATTTTATATCTATGGCATCAACTCCTTCATAATAAAAGTGGTATGTGTAACTTCCAAGTAAAATTGTTTAAAGAAGAAATTACATGCTTGCCGCTTAATATATTTTTTTCCCTTCTTACAAGATGGGACATGGACTAGTATGTGTAATCCAACCTCAACCAATTCAGAGAACACTGTGGAAAATGGAAGAGTAACAAGATATCTATAGGAAAGAGCTTCCCTACTGGCTTAGAAATGCTCATCCCTGGATCATTAGATAAGAAAGAAATAAAATTCTATTTTGTTTGAGCCTTTGAATTTTAGGGTGATTGTTGTTGTTGCAGCTGCTTAAAATACACCAAAGTAATATATTTGCCATCTTGACTTTTTAATTTGTGCATCCTTCCCTTTTCATTCCTGTTCTCTCAAAGCCTTTTCTTTCCCCATATAAACCTCCCAACATAAATATTTTCAAAAAGCATGAAAAAAGCAATCCTAATTGGGAAGGAAACAACGTAAGAGATAAATTTACAGGTCAGTTTTTGCTGCTACCATAGATCATCTGAAAAACACTGCAAAGTCACTAACTTTATTTTCAGAAGCAAATTTGATAATTTCTTCTTGGCCTTTGTTTAGTTATTATTTTACATTATTTTGAGTAGGTATCTTGCTGTCACTCAGGATGGAGTGCAGTGGCATAATCATGGATCACTGCAGCCTCAAACTCCAAGGAAGTCTGGGACTACAGGTGTGCATCACTACACCTGCTCTTCTTCGCCTTTATTAATCACAATGATGATCAATTGGTGAGCTGGGACTTAATTTAAAGGGAGATGGAAAAGGAACAGAGTGCCATTTAAAAGTAGCTAGCTGTTCAGACAGGAAGGCTCCTTGGAGCAAATAGGCTCTGGTCTGAGATAAAACATTTGAGCAACATTCTAGAATGAAGTCAATAGTGTTTCCCTTTTTGTTTTGGGAGAAGAATGTAATTGGTATTCTTTTGACTTGGGTAATGCACAGTAATGCTCTTTCAGACTCCTTGGTAGGTTTAAAAGTTGCTGAGAATAGTTTGCAGATGTGCATAGGAACCAAGTAGCCTTTCAGAAGTAAGAGTATGAAAACACAGACCTTTTCACTTAAGGATCAAAATGATTAGAATGTCTCCAATGAGGCTAGATGGCCTCACTGAGAAAGAAATCTTCAGACATTTTCTGACCTCTTTCATGTTTATATCATGTTTTTTTTAAATATATGATTATTTTACTAATTTTTAAAAACTCATGCTGATCCATTTTGTTATTTTTCCTCTGCTCTATGGGATACAGTTCTTAGTGACAGCTCTTCAACCATCATTTGTTTTTCTGTTTTTGCACCTCTTTTGTCTTTTAATTGTTAACATATTTAGACTGAGATATTTACATATTACAATAAAATTATAATTGAAAATATCCTTTATTTAGACCAATTTTCTCTGATCTTATCTAGCACCTCAGCATCTGTAGATCATAGTTTCTCAATTTAAAGCATTATGGTCAACAGAGGAGAGTCAATTGAGTGTCAGCAATTTAAATTGTATTCATCACAAAATACGAATTTGAAGAAAACTGCAAGCAATTCTATTAAAAAATGTAAAACAGCACACATTGCAAAATATATTCTTCAGAAAATTGCCAATGACACAATGTTAGAAATAGATACAGGCTAAGAAAATGATTAAGAATGTGTATATGACCTAAGAATAATTATCCCATTTATTTTTTAATGTTTGAATAATTCATATAGAGACATTTTTATTTTGCTTTAATAGACAGAAATGTTATTTTTTATATTTTCGCAAGAATATTTTTATATTTTCAGCAATGAATAAAATTCACTGGAGCCAATGAAATAATATTAAATTATAAGTCAAATATACATATTTCAAAGAAATGACATAACTTTTACTACTTTTACGTCCCCATTTCATCCTCAAAAATATCTTCGTTTGGGATTTTTATATGGTCACACTACCTAGAAGTTACGTGTATGAGAGTATTGGACCCAATGAAATACATGAATCTAGGCAGTGACAGGGGAGGGCTGGTTTCAAGAAGACTATAAGACTGATTTGGGAACCCCTCTTCAGCCCTTTACCCTAATATTGTGGTTATGCTATACCTGTTTGGGCGCAAATTAAAATAATTCTGTCAGTGAAAAGGTGTCATATTCAGAGGCCAGGCTTCCTGTGGCAAGGAGCAGACATAGGTGAATATGAGCCTAGGAATAAAGAGACTACATTACTTTCTCCACCCACAACGTCCTACATGCTGCACTAAGAAGCTGTCCCCAGATCGGCAGTGGTACCTCATGTCTCTGTCATAGTAGCAGTCACCTGTCTTCATGGGCTGAATTCTTTCTCAGGATGTTCTTTGGTTCTTCATGTAGAGAATGCTGCCAGGGGTGGCCTATGTCTTTTCTGGATCACCTCTGACATATGACCAGGTTACGCCATGGATAGACTTTATCTTCAAGTAGAGGCTCTTCCCCCACCATGTATGCAAATAAGGTGGTGATTAATAATAACTAAGATAAAATCCTTTACATAGATCTTAAATATTTATCCGAAGATCTTGGAAAACAAGGCTGTTAATACTATACTGCCTTTTAGAAAATTATATTCCACGTATTTCACAAAGTGAAACATGACTACCATGGGGGTATGGTCATCATTTCTGAGATCTAGAAGTTTTATGTGCCTAAAATTTCACAAAGAATTTGAAAGACTGTTCAATTTCTCTAGAAAAGCCAGTATGGCTCAATCAACAGGGCCCTCTTCCTAAGCTGTGCGTCTGGGTAGGATCCTGGCACATGTTGGTTTCACCTGCAGGATGTCCTGGTTCACAAAAGCTTTTTTTACTTCCTGCTGTCATTTGATAGGAAGCAGTG